CTATTCCGAAACTGGCTCAAATGACACTCCTCATACGACCGTCCTACGAAACAGCTTTGAATCGTCCATCGCACAAGCTGATCTAGTCGATTACCTTCCATGGCAACATCTTCATCCAAATCCATAGGATTCGAATCGTCCAACACACTAGGAGGCCTTGAAGGCGTATACTCAGACTCTTGCATCGACTCTCCTGGGACATCCATTGACTCGTCAACGGACGGGGCTCCAGACCGATCAACTTCAATCGCATCTGTCGGACCTTCAGCGGTTGGATCACTCAATCGACGTTTGTGAGAGGGGGCATTGGGTTCTCCTGGTGCCATTGTTTCATCTGCTCCAGACTGTGGGACAAACAAGGCAGGCGTTTCTGACTCCAAAGGATCTTTTGGAAGATCCGGCACATTCTTGATCCTACCTATCTCATCCCTTTCAACCGGCGGCCGAGACGGAATGACTTCCGATGGCTCTGACCTGACACCTTCTGGCCTTCCCTCAACTCTTGGCAACACTCGACGATCCGACGACGGCAGCTGTTCAGTCAACCACTTCTTATACCTAGCCTTGCAAGCAACACTGTGAACTCTACCTTTTACACCTTTGTCACATGCGATACATCCTGGTGTCTTACCATGTTCTTTGTACCATGCTGCTGGCGGATTACCACCCTTGTAGGTAGTGACTTCTGGCGGCACAACTCTCTCTGGGGCTTTCGGTGACGCTTCTGGCTTCGACGAACCATCTTTGACTTCACCTGAGCGCGAATCGGAGGAGGATGTCTTGGGAAAGGGTTGACCTGGCTTGAGAACTCCTGTGCACAACTCTGGATCATACTTAGGAGGCATCACCAGCTTGATAGTCTTAGCTACGAACTTCTTCAACTGTCCATCAGCTAGACGACTGGTGCATACATGTCCTAATGATCCCACAGATGGATGCCAATACGCTGCTGGACTAAACCGTGATGAACTAGGTGCAAACGAACTTGGCGTTTCAGCTAACACCGTCATACCAAATGATGCACATGCAATCTCTGGCAACTCTCTCTGCACTAGTTCCTCTCTTGGCGTGTGATGTGAGGCGTTCTTGGCAAACAAGTTGTAGGTCATTGAAACAAAGTTGAACAAACACTGGATGGCGTCCTCTTCAAAAGACATCTGCATTCCATGCTCTTGAAGCTCGATCAACACGATCTGACAAGACTCCTTGACCTGCCGGATCGATCTCTCAGCTCCCCCGACAAAGCCGTGTCTCTCTGGTGCGCCCTTGAGCGGCACGAGGTGACGGCCGTTCATGTCAACTCCCTTCACTAAATGCGACACTGCTGACTCTGCATCCGAATCCAACTCAATTGGGTCTCCTTCACCCAAAAGACCAAGAAACTCGAATGCACGACGGATACAAGCTCTAGTCTTGTCAACACTCGAAAAAGCAACGATCGCAAACATGCACTGGGTTTCTGGATGATAGATTACCAAAAACTTCTGCTTCTCTGGATGTTTCGTTTTCTCTGGATAAACTGCCATCTCTAGATACCCAAAGTCTGCTTGAAGGACGTGACTCTCACCTGCACCTCGACGCCTGCTCTGACTAACTCCTTTAGCCCTACGACAAATCTCACAGTTCCTAGTATCAGCTGGTTGATGTCCTCTCAACGCATGCTTGGTTGCATCAAACTTGAACGGTTGCAATGACTTCGGCACGACCTCACGCGCCTCCACCGCTGACATGCCAGAATTGGCAAACGCTTCCGTTGCAGGATTGTGACAAGGCTCCGGTTTTGGTTCGTTTCGCAAGACTCTTGTTGGCACATCTTTCAAAGAACCCTCAATACTACTGCAAGCACGATCCAACGAAGAAGTACTATTCGACTCTGCTTTCGAAACTGTGGCTTTTGAAAGTTCCTGACTCGTTCGAACAGCTTTCAAAAATGAAATGTCTTCTGTAACTGGCTTCAAAGGACAGTGCAAAAACTCCTTCAACAATACACAGTGGTTCAAACATGGTTTCCGCTTCAAGCACGACTTCAACGCTGGCTTCTGGGCTCCGGCTTCAGGGCTCCGAACACGATACGAGGATGATGGGGAGACCTCGAACTGCTTCACCTGGGCGTGCGGGTCGATGGAAACGCGATGGGCATACGACGAACGGCGTGTCCTAGTGGCACTCAAGTCCATCCGGACCCATGGACATGTGGCATACCACTCAATCGACAGTGAACATCCACTCTGACGAAGGAAGGCATGCTTTGGTGTCATGCTGAAACTCCAACCCCGTTCACACAGCGTTCCTAGACTCAAAATGTTGTGCTCAACCTTCCCTACGAAAGCTTCAACCAAAATCCACTGCACACCTGATGAACCTTTTGCCTGATCAACGATGAAAGGAAGTTCAATGCCAATGACTTTAGACAGCTTAACTTTAGACCCATCTGCTGTCGAAAACATGGCCATCTGTGATGTGGTGTATACGATCCATGACTCATGTGCTGCAACAAATTGCGAAGACAAGACGTGTGAAGAAGCTCCAGAATCTAGCAAAACCCACTCTGGACTATCGTTCGGATTCAAAGGCAAGTTCATAGTTTCAGGTTCCATAGAAACATCTCCAGTCTCTACTTCCATCTCCGCTGAGGCCACCGACTGCGCCATTCTAAACATGGCTTTCACTTCAGAAGGCTTCGAA